GTATCTTTTTAAGGTTAAAAGTCTTAACCTACCTGGGGGTCTGGGACAATCTGATCTCCAAGCATGAAGGAAAGGCAATGCTGGACCACTGACTTGTATTGAAATCCTTTCTTGTGGGCTAGGGTTTGATGTCTCTTTTTGATCTTTGGACCGGGGATCTGTATGTTCCAGGTCCATTTAAGCACTGAAACTAGATGCGAATCTCTTTTGACACCTTACGTGTTTTAGATAGTCATGTAATGACTTGGATAGACATTTAAATAACTTGTTGCAAGGTCGGAAGAGCCCAGGAACTCCTCAGAGTTCCTCTTCTTGCTTCTTAAATCACATCCTCTAAAGATGACTCTTGTCTCCATAGCAACTGTTAAAGGTGCTGCCTAGAAGGGACCTGCTCCCACCCTTACTTACTTTGTTCGAAGGAAGCAAAAGAATGTCCCTGTGTAAAGGGGCTGTCATGTCCAGTTTTCCTTTGAAATGTGGCCCCCAAGATCCTGCTTCTTTCTAACCTGGCAGCTGCCATGTCCCTTCATCATGATGTGGGCAATGGCCCTTATAACTTGGGAACCACAGAAATTGCTCTATTTCGGGAAGATTCACCTCTAAACTGAAGGCTCCATTCTGATAGTATCTGCCCTCTCTACCCTGATTTCGCCCTTCTTTGCTTCCATCTTTAGCCCAAGGCTTTGAATTTGATTAAGACTTAGAGGCAGTATAAAGAACACCATGAACTCAGGCAGAGGTCCCTTAGTGTCTCTAGGGTTGAAAATAATTCTAGAGCCTTAGGGGGACCTCTTGGCATGGACTCCAAAGGGAGAGACTAGGCCCTGTGTCCTGGCATTTCAGTCCAGACCTTCAGGGACTGTTCTCTCTTGACAGGCGAGCAAGCAAAGAAAATTTTGCAATAGATTTCAAGCCAGTTTTTCCATTCAAACCAAGATGAAAATTCATAAAATTATTCTTTTCCTGGAATAGATCCAGGCAGCTGCCTTACTAGGATTTTAGATTCTGATCCATTTTCTTAACACACATACACATACACACGCATACATACATATACAGAGAGATACATGGAGAAAGGAAATTTATCATTGAAATAGTTCAAGAAAGAGCTGTATTTTGCCTTTCTGTAATCTCCAAGATAATGTCTAGGAAAGTATTAGTATAACTATAGGGATACCGAAACAGGAAAAACCAGCCATCACTCTTGAGAAAGTTTGAGTTCAACTCACATGGGAGAATCGAGGTCTGCTACTCGTCTCACTTTGTGCCCTGTCTGTGCCCGGATGCCCTACTACATCTGCTTGACTCGTCTGGGCCGCCAGCTGGGGTATTGTGGCTGACATCCTTTCCCAGCCTTACACGCATAGTGGACACATCCCTAATGTCGTGTGCCTGGTCCAGCCACATACAACCACCGCATGCCTCACACACCATCCCCCTCATCCATGTGGACTTGACTGTGGCATTTCAGCAGCTCCACTGAGATGCTCTAACCCCAATGTGTGGAGTTGGGGTCCTTCATCTGGGTTGACCCAGGTGTAGCATTTTTAGCATTGCCTTTCCAGTCTTAAGGATTCATTCACTGAACTCATTTATTTCTGGAGCCCCTGGTACACTCCAGGCACTGTGCTAATTGCAAGCAAAGCACAATTGAACTAAACCCACCCTCGAGGAACCTAGCCATAGCGAGGGAGGCAGTGTGGAAGTACCCTACAGGGAAAAGTCCTGAGTGCTGTGGGAGCATCTCACGGTGGCAGCCAGCCCAGTTCTGGTAATCAGGGGCTTCCTGAAAGAGGTGATATCAAAGCCCAGATGTGTCAGAGGCCTGAGGGAGAGTGTTACTAGAGGACTTCCAGGCTGAGAGGACAGCACAGGACTCAGCCCAAAGGACGGCCAGTGTGGACTGTCCAGGGCCGGCCTGCAGTACAGAGGCTGGGGCTTGGACTTGTAGAGGGAGAGAGAAGAGCAAGAGACAAGGACAGGACAGTGAGCCGGGCCAGCCACAGAGGGTTCCTGGGGCTTTGCCGGGGATTCAGGGAGCATAAATAAGAGCTTTAGGTGGTGCTGTGTCCTCTGCAGCCCACTGCTGAGGTCCTCCAGACAGGTAAGGTGTGGTCACAATCAGGGCCGGGCTTTCCCTCCTCACCGCGGCAGTGCACGGGTGCTTGCTGAGATGATTTATCCCAGGGTGTCCTCTGTCCCTTACCCAGCCCCAACTCCTCTTCCTCTGCCAAAAGCTATTTGAATTCAAGGACTTTAACCTGGGCTGGATCTGGTTTGGAGACATAAAGGGGACAGCTCTGGGTCAGCATGACCTTCTTTAGAGCCACCAAGGCTAAAAATACCTTTTGGGACCAGGCTGGCCTAGACCCAGGGATGAGAATGCACCCTAAAATAAATATACGGGAAGCAGCAGAGGGCTTCCCTGTCTAGTGTGTGATCCTAACTAAAGGCAGCTCTCTTGAACAGCCTTCCCCTGGATTAGGTCACATACACCCGGTGGCCAAGCCTCTGCTGGGTCCCAAATACACACCCGAGTCCTGCCAAAGAAAGGAGACTTTTAAAAAGCACAGACAAATTGTATGCAAGTGGAAAATACCCATAGGCCTAGACAGCTGTGGAGGGAAGACCTCGCAGGCACCTGGAGGCTGCCAGAGCTGGGAGCTCTGCAGATGTGAGTCAGGGAAGGCTCAGAGACAAGCGTAATCTCTCTATGGAGACAACTTGCAGTGCCTTTTAGGTTTTCCAAATAACCTCAGAGTTTAGAGCATTGGGGTTTTTTTCTCCCCCTTCCCACCCCAGAAAAATAATTAGAAAAATGTTTAGGAGAAAGGAAAAGAATTAGACGTATCAAAATACCAGCTATAAGCCAACACTATTTACAGAAACTCAAGAAAAAGCTCGAACAGAAGACAGTTCCCCTGAGAGGCTGGAGGAGTTGGGGCTGAAGGCAATTTTCCTAGCTAAGGGACACTGGGCCTTGCTGCACCTTGGGGCTGACCTTTTTTGCAAAACCCCCACCGCTGCCCTCCTGGCATACTCAACAGCAACACCAGCTTTCTGGCCCCTCGGAAAGATGTTAGCTCAAACACCTACTTTTTCCAGATCTTCCTCTGGCTCTTCCCTGAGGAGTTTGTAATTCTGTGGCTAGCAATTCCCACTCAGATATTCCACAGGCCCAGGTGTTTAGATTAGAGTTTGTCCAGCGGTAATCCTGATGGTGGAAACCAACAAACATTTGGCCTCACATTCACCCATTTAAAAACTAGAGCCCTGGCAGGTCCCCTTAGGGCCAATGTGTTCATGGAATATAAGCCAAGTTTGCCTTAGGGCACCTCTCCCCATTTTCTACCCTGGCCCACTTCCTACTCACCTCCACCTCATTGCCAGGAAAGGATCAAAATGCCTCCATGCTGGTTGTTAATGGCTGCATATTTGCTCTTCCCAAGGGTATTTGCATTTTATTTAGGAACGTGGCCTTACATTCAAGGAAAATCTTGCATCAAGATTACGAAGCATCACCTCTCAATCAGGTCTGGGAGGTATCTTGGAGCACTGCTCTTCTGAACACCTGCAGAGGCTTCCTCAGGTGAGCGTGGGAGCCCGGAAGGTGGCCTCCCTAACCACTCTGCCTGCACATGAATTCTGCAAAGCAGTGGGCCCCCATCTGTTTCAATTACACATGCCTGTCAGCAAAATCTTTGTGAGATGCACTCTCTCTGTATGTTTATTAATTTATGTAAAGTATATATCCCTTTACTTTTGTACTAATATATTAGGCACATTATAAAAAGTACACAGCATAGAAACTTTAAATGAATAAGACACAAAATATTATAAACAGAGGTCTGGCATTTTCTCTCTGAACTCCTGAGGGAGACCTTGGGTACCTCCTGGTATGTACACATCTCACTTTGAACACCTTTGCTTTAGTGCAAATCAGCACGCCAGAATAGCACCCCAAACCACTGTGCAACATTTGGCCTGCAGAATAAGAAAGTCCTAAGGCAGAATCCCCAGGAACTTCAAATCTGGGAGATGAGGCAAGAAAACTCACTCACAAACAACATAAATGTAAATAATTCAAAACCCTGAAGGAGAGCTATCCCTAGACAGTAGTGGCTACAGGTGCTAAGCAAAGGTCAGGTACACTGGACAGAGCCATGCAATTGTTCACCTTCCCTCTCTGGGTCTCCAGAAAAGGACACTGGCAATATCCCCAGCTCTCTCCTGATTGGAATTCTTTGAACCCTCGAAGTGCTCCAGTAGTACTACCCCCCACGCAGCAGTGGGCCCATGTCGCTTGAATATTATTTTTGATTTGACCACCAAGATGTAATGATGATTCTATTCCATTTTGAAAAGGGTCTGAGAAAGTGTATAGGTCTAATTATATATACATATTTATACATGTGTATTTTTGTTTATTGTTACATTTTGACATTGGACTTTCTATTAAATAATTTTTAAGAGTTGGCCTGGCTTTGTTCTCTTTTATGTCTTTCTTCTTTCCTTTCTCATGGAGGAGGCCATTCTAAACATCTGCAAAAGACCCTTTTGGTGTCCTTGTCCCTCCTCTCTTTTGCCCTCCCTATTTTGTGTACATAAGGGCTTCTCTTACCATTCGTAAATGTTCTGTTTTTACAGGATATGTGGTACAGCAGGCATCCACATGGAAGGCCCCTAACCTTGTTGTCACCTCCTCCAACTTCCAGCGACAACCCACACTGTCCTATCAGCCTCAGCAAATTCACAAATTCAGACTTGATGAAGGTGCAAGAATGGGCAATGCATAAAATAATGCCATGAACCTTCTCTCCTGCACACTCCCCACCACACACAGACACACACACACACACATGCCATGTGCACACACACAGTCCTGTCTATGAGACCTTGGACAAGTCACTTAACCTTCTGTAGCCTACTAAAAACAGTCATTTTCTCATGAGTTTGACTTGAGGAGCTCCCACAGGAAGTGCTTAGTAAACAACCTTCTGTTACACAATGACTCTTTTTTGTTTATTCATTCTACTCATTCAGCTGACATTTGTTAATTGTACAGTGTATGCCAGGCCCTAGGTCACCCACAAAAGGGGTCAGGGATGTGTGAATTTAAGAAATTCCCCACTCCAAAGTCAAAGGCCAGAGTGGCAGCATGAAGAATGAGGCCAGTACCGTATAGTTTCTCACATACTCCACTGTCAACTATAACTACCTGGCACATTTTGGAGGCTGAAAACATATGGATTCTCCCACTGCACTGGCCTTCCAGGATTTACCGAACAGAAATACACACATGCACATACAGTCTCAGGGCACTTTGTCAAAGCATGAAGCCAAAAGCTCTTTCCCTCTGCATTGTCTTCACTGTCGCATGGGCCTGTTCATTTCTGACAAGCGTTGGTCCCATCAGCCCAGCCAGCCTTCCACCCTCCACCCTTGCTCTTGGGAACAGATTGTCTTCATGATTTCTAAATGGTGTGGTGAGAAGGAGGGAGGGAGGGAGGTCAAGCCAAGGACAGGGGAAGGAGTCGATAACTATTCCTAGGCTTCTTCCTCCAAGCCGTGGAGCTGGAAGTTCAGATTTGCTGCTGAGTTTTATGAGCTGTCAAATAAGGCAAAAGAAAACTTGAGACCCAAACTTGTTCTTTCAGTAACAACAAACCCATTTCTCCCAGCAGAGGCTCACTTGAAATCACGAAGCCCAGCTAAGCTGAAAGAGCTCCCTAACTCCACCTGCCTTCCCCTGTCTCTCACACACACACACAAGCTGGTCTCCCACACCTCTGACTGGCACTTGGGGCGCTTCCTTAGTCTCGTGCCGAAGAGGAGTCAAGCTTAGGAGACCTCTGGTCTGCCTCTTAGTGCTCCCTGAACTCTTGTTAGTGACGTCAGCTTCCGGTTTACTGGTAACAGCTGGACTGCTGCCCGAGGCCAGTAACCTGGAGTTCTCTTGCATGGAAGCCGGTGATGGGAAGTGGGATGTGAGTGATGGAGGGAAGAGGAAGCTGAACTCCACAGAGCCTCAACACTTGACGGAAGGGGAAAAGTGAGGAAACGGACCACAGAAGCACAGGAGTGAGCCACTGTTTCTGCTCCTCAGGGTCTCCAGGCCACTTCCTTCTACAAAGCTAAAATGCAGTGATCTGGTGGAGGAGACAAACCTTTAACTTCCTCAGTTCACATCATGTTACTAATCCAGCCTCCTACTCTCCAGCAGCACTCAGCTTCTATCTGCTGGCCAGCTCTTTGCCTGGTCCTCTCCTGACACTGCCACGTTCCTTTGCCTATGCTGGCTCTTGCTGCCCCTTCGCCAAGAAAACTCGCCCATTTCTCCTTGCCTCTGGAAACAGCCTCCTTTGAGGTCCAGTTAAAACTGACCACTCACATGAGGTCTCCTCACCCTACAACCGAGCACATGCTCTTCATTCCTGCCAAAGAACATTCCTTTTAGGAGGGGCCAGGTGTGGGTGGCAAGGTAGGGTAGGAATCCCTGACAAGGATGATCCAGGGAGAATTCTGGTGTAAGACGTGGTCTTCAAGTGCAACTTGGTCTTCAAGAGTCAAGTTGCATGCTGGGGAAGGGTGACCCCAGAGCAGAGCCTAGTCCAGGCGAGGAGCAGGTCTGAGGGCCGCGATGATCGCAGAGAGTCGAACACCTGTGTTTAAGGACATGGCTACAGAACATACATTGTAAATAATGTTGTAGCGTGATTTCTAACAGTAAAAAATGCGACACGATCTTAGCACCCATCAGAAAAAGAATGAATAGATAATAATGAAATTGATCTTGTATCAACAGCGATAAACCTCAGAAATACGACAGTGAATGAAAAACATGCAAAGGGTACAGTAAGACATCATTTATGTAAAGTTTGAAAGCTTGCAAAACCATATCATCTATTATGTGTGGATACTTACATGTGTAGTAAAAGTATAAAAACATTCATGGGAAACATAAATACCAATTTCTGAAGAGCAGGGAGAGGGCAGGAAATGGCACAGGCAAGGGTTAACAATGTTCTAGTCTTTTAAAACATCAGCTGAAGCAAATATGGAGACATAGGGACAATATTCTCTATAGTCCTGCGTGCTTGTAGTATTTTATCATTTTTAAAGGAACAAAGTGCTCTAGGAGCAACTTCATGTTGGTGACAGACTGCAGCTGGTCGAGCTTCAGGTGCTGCAGTCAGCCACAGGTGAGAACGGTGACGGTGTGACACAGAATGGGTACCACTCCTCTCAGAGCTCTGGTGGCTTTTCAAATCGGCTTCATCTCCTATTTCTATGTCCTTGTCTCTAGTTTTCCTATGTAGATGACATGGGAAGAAGGAGACAAAGCTTTAACTTCATCCGTTCACATCATGTTATTAATCCAAAGTCCCAGACTCTCTTCCTCTGAAGTCCCACAGCTTTAGCGTGCGGCATGTGGGACTGGACCTCAATAATTGCTTTCGGATCAGATCTCACTCATCTTCACCCTGGATGAGGCTCTGTTCAGTCTTCTTGGGTGTGTCACAATTTGGCACAAAACATCTTGTCCACATGGATGTTCCCCCCAGGGCTGCCTGCCCCCCACCTGCCAGACCCTCACACACAGCCCTTTTGGACTTGCCACAACTCTTTCCACAAGGACTCAGAGTCCCTCAGGGGAGAGCACGCCCCAGAGTTTTGAGCAACATGGACTGACCAGCTGAGATGACCTGGGACGGCAGTTCCCACTCTGCAAACGTGTAAGAAGAATCACTGAGGGGGCTTTAAATACACACATATACGTACACACACACACACACACCGCCTCTCACATCTGACCCCTCAAAAGGTCTGATTTGTAACCACTGGAGTGGGGGATTCTGACAAGTACCAAGTTTGGGAGCCAGGATCTACAGTGTAGTAAACCATGGCAGGCACGGAGTAGAGCTGGAGGAGAATGAGAGCACGCAACCTGTTGCAGGCAGGGATTTCATAAGACTTAGTGAGTTCTTCCGTGCAGTTCCAGACACTCCTGCCAATAGCTTCTCCCTCCAGAACTTGGTTCTCCAAGAGTTGTATGGCTCAAACAAATGATATTAACCATGGATAAATGCTAAGGATGAATAGAGGTTGAGAATCTGCTTCCTCACCACCAGAAAGAGAAATTTAAAAAAAGGAGGTGTCACTTGGTCAAAGTCACCGTTTTGATTCGTTGATGGTCTCCTTTGGGCCTCCATCATGGCTGCACATAGAATCACCTGGGGAGCTTAGACTGCCCATGTCCAGACCTCAGGTCAGTTGAGTCGGAATCTCTGGGCATGGGGCCAGGCATTGGCATTGTGAATATCATCTCACCTCAGGCAACTGAGCCACAGGGAGGGTTTAAGAACCACTTGTCCACCCTGCATGCCACTGAGTTGGTCACCGGCAAACAAATCTGAACAGACTAAAGCCCGCCTCTGAAGATCTCAGGGATGGTAGGGTGCAGGTTTGCAAACACGTACTCCAAGGGGCTTCAAGAGCCCAGGAAAGGAACTCGAAAGAATCCTTCAAGAGAAGGTGGTGAGAATGGGCAGCCACGAATGGGTAGGTTCTGTGCAGGGACTCCCCGGTGATGCATGAAGGAGCGTCCCTCTTGTTGAAATGGGATAAGAGAGTGAACCAGCCCCTACAAGACCAAGAGTTCAGGCTAGGGAAAGGCCTCAAGTTCATCTGGCTCCCAGATATGCTTTTGCTCAAGCCATTCTGAAGAAAGAATTCTTGAAGCCACCCTGACAGGAGACCTGCTAACCTCTGCTGAGAACTCCTTTACTGTGCAGGAGTTTTATCCCTCTGAGTTAACCTTAGGCAACAGCCCAGACCTGCTCCTGTCCTACCCTTTCCCGAACCAACTGCCCCCCATCCCTCAGAACACGCCGGCTGTGGAAGGCACATTCAGGCTAGAACAGGCATCCAGGCAATGAGCCCCTTCCCTATAAGACATGACCGACAAACCGCAAGGAAAGCAAATCCCCAGGAACGCCTTTGTATGAAGGAGGGATCCCTGGCTTAAAGGGGCTGAGGACAGTAGCTGCTTGTCCTCTCTGCAGGGTCCCCTCCACTGAATAAACAGAAAAGCAGGACTTACACACCTGATGCCTTTGGAAGGAGGATCAGAGGTTGTTACTATAATGGGGGCTGCAGTGGTTGGAGCCCTGGTAAAAGAAAATCATCCTGGTGAGTTTGGTAATTGCCAACTGGTATGTTACCTAAGACATATGCATGACCTCATGTAGAGCGGCCAGGCTCATGGTTGGGATTTCAAGCACTTGCTCCAATTGTTTGCAGAGTTCTGGTCATTGGTATGCTCGGCACTTGGCCATCAACTTGACGCTAGGTTCTCGTGGATTGCTGTCCTATCAGGGACTGATAGCGTGGAATACAACCAACAGAGAAAATCCAATAAAAAGCCATTGTAGAGACTGATCTGCCACCATCCTGCTCCCCGGTGGCCCATCTAGTGGGTGGGGATGCTGGGTGGAGTGCTGGCTGATTTCCCAGAGGCTTTTTGTGTCTGCTGTAGACTCCTCTGGACATTTCCTGTCAATCACAAACTCAAGCTGGGGCCCACAGGCAAGCAAGTCTCCCATGATCAGACTGGAATACAAATGGGGTTTTAGATTTAAAGATCAGGTTTGATGGCATGTGATGGGAGGGAAACATGAAGGAGAAACCCCTTCCCAAAGCTCCATCACCCTACAAGTGAAAATTCAAGACTCTAACAAGGCTCTGTCTTGAGTTCCCACCCCCTACTCCCAGGCTTTGCCCAAAAAAGGAAAAAGGGAAGCTTTAAATCAGGTCACCCTAAATCCTCTTTTATCCTTGAGATTATCCATCTGGTATTTGTGTATTTGTGTTTCTGCCAATACAGTGGGATTCGGGTGCCCTGGGCCCTCTCTGGCTCCTGCTACAAGCCACAGAGGTGGCTTCAAACACCTGTCTCCCCCTTCCCCCTTTAGATGTAATTGGAAAAGAAAAGCTTGAGTAGCCTCCAACATAGAAATAAGTAAAGTCCTCAGGATGCGTAAGAAGACCCCAGGGCACACTGAGGCCTCTTCCCACATTGAAACATGCTCAGCCCTGAGTTCCTGCCCTCAAGTTACCAGTGAGACAGTCTTCTTAGCAGAAGCCAAGTCTACCAAACTGTGGCAAAGTCCTTATCCTTCAGGTGAAATGTGGCATCAAGACCATTGCTGGGTCCCCAGTTGATCCATTCTCATTACGGTCTCTGCTGCTTATTGAGCAGTGACTAAATGTTCTCTGACGTAATCCCAACAATCCCTTATAAATGGGTGCTGATCACTCATTTACGGCTGGGGAAACTGAGCCTCAGAGAAGTTGAATATCGTCCCCAAGGTCACACAGCAGGAAGTGATGGAGCCATAATACCAACTCAGGTCCCCAGGCACACAACCATTCAGTGCCACTCACACATGTGCCTTGGGTTACCATGCCACCATCATCACACTTTGGTTACACCCTTTGCCAGCATCACCACTGCCACCTTCTCCACCTCCCATCCAGTATGTCCAAGCCTTCCTTTGTTCAACCAAAACAGCTGTCCTATATTTGTCCCTCCTGGACCAAATCTCACCAACAACCCCTCACTAGTGGATGAGCACTGCTGAGACTGTGAGCAGAAGCAGCCAGTCCCCACCCCTGGCCAGCCTGGGTCCCAGGCAGACCTTCCTCCCAGCAACTACCACGTGGAGATCCTTCCTCCCTCTTCTTTCTCCTATGCTGCCTTCTCAAGCTTCCTGCTATCTTCTGGAGCTTTTCTACTCATCACCCAGATGACCTGGAGATAGTCTCTATTGGTCATGAGTTCTGCCCTCTTCTCCCCAGGCCACTCCAGAGAGACCTGCTCCTGTGAGTTATTATGCCATCCTGGCCCATCAGCCCAGGGCTTCCCACTGCTCTCAGCAGCCTCCTGCTTTGTGTCAAAGGAACTTCGTTTGCCAACGACTTGTTCATGTGTTGTCACTGGATTTATTTACATTTGCTACATGTCTTATTGGACTGAAGGACAGTGAAGGTGGCATCCCACTACCCACAAAGCAACCTCACCCTGCCCCTCCAGAGTGCTCTGTTCATACCGCTGACCCTGAGATGGACAGCCGCTGAGCACACATGACATGAGTAACCATTCCGTCCTCTTGACCTGGGTTTCCTTCCGGGAGCAAAGGGGAGGTGGAGGCAGGCACTGGTTGGGAAGGTGACTGTCAGATTAACCCCGATGGGTAAAACTCCTCAGTCTTACAGCGTCTGTGAGCAAGGCAACTCAGCCTCCTGTGAACTCCCTAATTTCCAGGCTGGTGGGTGGTTATTTTTCCTCCAAAGCCCTTGGCCAACCCTTCCTCTCACCCAAGGGCTGTGGTTTGGGGCATGTTTTGACTTGAAACAGTCAGACCCATGGCGGTATTTGGAGTTGTAAGCCCCTTCTGTGCTAAAGGGAAAACATGAATGGTCTATTTAGAACCCGCTAACAATTCACAGTATGAAAACAGGCAACAATTCTGCTGCTGAAATGCCTGCTTTCTGAGAGTAGCCCCAGGGGAGCTGGCTGTCTGGCAATTCTGGCCCCTACTCTGGAAGACCCTGCACTAGTGGTGGCAATGATTCCAGAATATCATGCCTCTGTCCTGGCTTTTTCTCAGCCTCTCCTTAACCTCTTCCCAGAAGACTTTCCTCCGGGGGCCTGCGGTGTTCTTGTGCTGAGGGAGACCACTTTTTATAAACCGGATGAACTTTGCTCTGGACAAATGAGAGAAGGGTGAGTATTTGGGAGGGCCTCAGACAGATTCTCCTGGGCCTGGGTTGTTAGGTTTTCCCTCACCATCACAAACATACACAGAGCTCACCTGAGGGAGGAAGCTGGCTTCCTCTTAGGACAAAATGGCGGCCCTGGAGCTGTAGATGCATTCCAGTGTGTTGTCAGCACCAGAGAATCACAGAGGTTTTCTTTATTTAATTGCATCCTAGGATCAGAAGGGGAGGTGTCAATCATAGGTTTGTAAATATTCAACCTAATTAAAAATAACCAGTTTACTGAAATACCAAAAGCTTGTTTTCAAACATTATCCACAATTTGGAATGGCATTCATCTAATTTATAAAAACTGAATTTCCTCGTAGATAATAAGTAATCCCAATAAAAATCCTGATTGGTTTTGGGTAGGAATTGGCAAACTGATTCTAGACTTTATGGAGAAATGAAAAGGAACTAGAATGGCAAGAACAATTTTGAAAAAGAAGAACAAATTTGGAAGACTGGCACTACCTGATTTGAAGACTTACTACAAAGCTACAACAATCAAGAAAGTATGATGTTACAATCGGTATAGACAAATTAATGGAACAGAATAGCATCCAGAAATAGGTCCACACATATATGGCCAACTGATTTTAGACAAAAGTGTCTAAGTAATTCAATGAGGGAAAGGATTGCCTTTTAAAAAAATTGTACTGGTATAATTGGACATTCATATGTATAAAGTTAACCTTGATGCTTACCTCAAACCACACACAAAAATTAACCTGAAATGGATCATACTACTAAGTGTAAAGACTAAAGTCTAAATTTTTGGAAGAAAAAATAGAAGACAAAGCCTTTGTGACCTTGGATTGAGTAAAGATGTTTAGATAGCAGACAAAAATCATGAATCACAGAAGTAAAATTAACAAATTAGACTTTGCCAAAATTTAAAACTTCTGCTCTTCAAAGACACTGTTGAGAAAAATTTTACAGACTGTGATAAGACATGTTAAAAGCATATATCTGACATAGGTGTATATATGTTTGCACATATTTGATAAGTGTACCCCACATCATTAGCCCTTGGGGAAATACAAGCCAAACCACAGTGAAATACCACTCCACACTCACTACAATGGCTAACATTAAAAAAGACTGAAAGTACCAAGTGCAAGGGTGTGGAACTATTGGAACGTTCATATTTTGCCAATGGTGGGTGCAAAAGTGCTACACAGTTGGCAGTTTGTGAAAAAGTTCAGCATTTCCTTAGTCAACCAGCAACACAATTCTTAGATATTTATCCAGGACAAAAGAAAACATATGTCCAAAAAGACTTGTATTTTAATATTCATAACAGCTCTGTTCATAATCATTAAAAAGTAGAAACCACTCAAAAGTTCATCAACCAGCAGATGATTTAACAAATTGTGGTATATCCATATAATGGAATACTACTTGATAACAAAAATCCATATAAGTGATAACCAACTCACAGATGCAGCAACATGGATGAATCTCAAAAGTATTTTGCTCAGTGAAAGAAGTTAATTACAAATGACTGTGTCCCATATAATTCCATCTATATGACACAGTGGGAAAGTCAAAACTGTAGAGACAGAAAACAGATCAATGTTGCAAAAGGCCAAGAGTGGGAAGGAAATCGCAAAAGAACATGAAGGCCCCTCTTGATTGTGTGGTCATTACATGACTATTCACATTTGTTAAAACTCCTTGGACAAATTGAACACTTTAAAGGGGTGAATTATATGGTATGTATATTTATACTTCAATAAATCTAACTTTCAAAAAAAATGAATCTCCAAACTAGCTTGGATAATGGAAACTCATTAATTTGGATCCCCTTTATTCATATTTTAGTGACAATTTATATCCACAGGGGCCAAATTTCACATTTCCTCTATCTAAAAATTGTCGTCGTTAACTTTTTTTTTTCTTTTTGTAGACAGAGTCTCACTCTGTTGCCCAGGATGGTGTGCAGTGGCATGATTTTGGCTCACTGCAACCTCCATCTCCCAGGTTCAAGTGATTCTCATGCCTCAGCCTTCTGAGTAGCTTGAATCACAGGCACCTACCACCACGCCTGGCTAATTTTGTATTTTTAGTAGAGACAGGGTTTCACCATGTTGGCCAGGCTGGTCTTGAACTCCTGACCTCAGGTCATCTACCCACCTTGGCCTCCCAAAGTGCTGGGATTACAGGCATGAGCCACCACACCTGGCTTACTGTGAACTTTTATTATCCCACTAGGGGAAGGAGGAGAAAGATTCAAATTACTATGTACCAGGCTGGCATCATACTAGGCATTTTGTACTATAGTACAATCTACTATAGTAGGATATGGTACCGTACAGTATGGTATGGTACAGTATGGTGTGGTGTGGTACACTGATTTTATTTGGTCTTCGTTATGGGCAAAATTGTGTTCCCCAAAATTTATATGTTGAAGTCCTAACCAAATACCTCCAGTATTTGGAGATCAGGGCCTTTAAAGAGGTGATTAAGATAAAATGAGATTGTTAAAATCCAGTCTGACTGGTGTCCTTAGAAGGCACAATTAGAGCACAAAAAGAGACACCAGGGGTGCACGGGGGAAGGACTATATGAAGACACAGTGAGAATGGCCATCTGCAACCCCAGGAAAGAGGCCTCAGAGGAAATCAACCCTGCCAACACCTTGATCTTGGACTTCTGCCCTCCAAAAGTGTGAGGAAATAAGTATCTGTTTACGTTCCTCGGTCTGCAGTATTTTGTCATGGCAGCCCTAATCCAGCCCTGATACAGTCTCTTACAGTCCACCCAACACACTAAGGTGAGATAGGCAGGGACGAAAGCCCAAAGCTCTGAGAGTGTCAGTAGCCTGCCCAAACTGCAGTGGCTGAGGGGGGGGCGACCTGGGGTGAAACATGGGCCTGACACCCAGAGCTCACACTTCTGCCACATGCTGTACCCCCATCCCCCCACCACCTAGACTGCTATTCTCAGGGGCTCAGAACTGGTTCTGTCATGTCTCTGAACAACCTGCACTGCGCTTACTTAGTAAATGTTGAATTGATTTGAATAATTAGAGATTTCAGGATGCAGGGACCTACTTTAAATATCCAGCTATTTTCCAGGGCAAATAAATACCACTGATTTTTACAAAGTGTGAATGTGATCATAAGAACTGAGAGCTTACCTACTCACCATGTTCTGAGTTCTGTGATTGCTGGGCCCAGTGACAGGCGTAGAGTATGCCAAGGGGTGGCTCCTGGCCCTGTTCTCAGGCAGGTCTTACAGTACCTATGCAATGTATGCTGTGTTAGCTCCGATGTTCATTTATTCTGTAAACATTTATCAAGCACCTACAATAAAGCTAAAAGCCAACATTTTTTTTCTCTCAGACAGATTTATCAGTAGATCCTAAATTGTTCTAACCTCTGACCCATTAAAACAAAGGGGCTTGGCTGGGCAAAGTGGCTCATGCCTGTAATCCCAGCACTTTAGGAGGCCGAGGGGAGCGGATCACAAAGTCAGGAGATCAAGACCATCCTGGCTAACACGGTGAAACCCCGTCTCTACTAAAAAATAAAAAAATTAGCCGGGTGTGGTAGTGGGCACCTGTAGTCCCAGCTACTCAGGAGGCTGAGGCAGGAGAATGGCGTGAGCCCAGGAGGCGGAGCTTGCAGTGAGCCGAGATCGCGCCACTGCACTCCAGCCTGGGCAACAGAGTGAGACTCTGTCTCAAAACAAAAACAAAAACAAAAGCAAAAACAAAGGGGATTTGTGTTGTTCATTTATTTTGTTTTTTACATCAGATTTCTTTCTTTTTTTTTTTTTTTTTTTGCCATTCTATGCACCAAAGCCAGGTGAAGAAAGCAACCTGGAGTTGAGGGTCTTGCAGTTGAGGAGTGGAGAAGGATCTCCTTGTATTCTGAGCATTTCCTGGAGGCCAGAAACTGACCTCCTGTTCATCATTAGATTCTGAGGGCTCAGCAAATAGCGAATTTTTGGTAAATGTGTTTTGGACTTAGAACTAAATTTTAGATAAATCAGCTGCTCAGAGTAAAAAGCAGCCACTTGGGGAAGTGATTAAATGCACATTTAAAACTCGGCCTCTGGGAGAGCCAGGCACACTGGGCTGCTCTGAGAGGTGTCCTCTGCTCAGCCAAGGTAAGGACAGGGTAGCCCCGGCGACAAGGGGAGCAAAAAGCTGGAAATGGGACTTGAAGGAAAGGACAGTAGGGGACCGTTGACTGAAACCAGAAAATGAAGAGGTGGAGACGATTTTGTGCAGAATCCAGTGGAGCTTTGGGTTTGAGAGGCCAGAAAGCTGTGTCCATGGAGATGGCCAGCCAGCAGCCTGGGGCTGTGGAAGGGAGCCATCAGGACTCTGGCTGGGGAAGAAGAGCCTGAGGACTCAGCCTGGCTCCTCCTCCTGCCTCACTCCTCCTCTTCACCAATTGGCAGGTTTGCTTATGCTACCTTTTATGTATTCTTAAATCTTTTCCTTCCTGCCTACCGCTTGCAACCATAGGTCCTCATAATCTCTTCCTTAGATGACTGCCTTCTCACAGGTCTCCCCTGCCAGCCTCTGCTCCTCTTAGATTCACCCTTCACACCATCACCAGTCACTTGTCTGAAATGAAATTCTCAGGATCTCCTTGGCCTGCTCAAAGCCTGCCCCATGCTGGACTCCCTCTCATTCTTCAAGACTCAGCACAGGCATCCTGTCTTCCAGAAGGTGGTCCCTGAAGTTCCCAGGCACAGCCACGAGGGCTCTGTGCACTTAGAGGTCATTAAGTGTCCTGCGTGACCACACCAAACTGCCATTGCCTAGTGGTTATTATGTCTTCCTCCCCTGAAGCCTGTGACCTCCTCAGGGCTGCAACCATACCTGGAAGTCTCTGTCGTCAGCACCTATCCCAATCCCTGGAACATACAGGCATTCAGTTCTTCTTGGGAGGGAGAGAGAAAGAATGAGGACCAGACGCTAATCTTGAAACATGTCTATATATGGTGGGGTAGCAGCCAAGTTTCCCGTATCCTACTTGAGGGGGCTTGGCTTCCTGCTGAGTCAGGAGAACTCAGGGCTAACTGCTGGCTGTGTCACCACCTACTGTCTGACCTTGATCAGGCTGTCTAACCTCTATGGGCCTCGGCTTTCTCATCTAATAAAGGGGTTGGGCCAGATGAACTCCACAGTTCCTTCAGCTCTGATTCTAAGGGCACCATAGGTCTCCTGACCATAGGAGTCTTGGCCCCATCTCTGCACCCAGGGAATCACCTCCCAGGCCCTCCAGCATTTTCCCTGCCCTGATCCTACCTCCCTGGTCCCCTGACTTCCCTCTCCCTGAGCTGGAGAAGCCCATGGCAGCCTCATTAAGTGGCACTGACTGTCACAGCCTTGCCCATGGAGCCTATCAAACAGCTTTCAATGGAAATTAAACATACATGGCTTCTCTTCTGAGTTTAACCAGCTGTTTTCTGGAGACAGGATTACTTTCTCATTAAGAGCAGAAGTCCAGATGGCCAGGTCTTTGGATCTTCTTTATTGTCTTCTTTAGAGGCTCATTAAATTCCTCTTCCCACCCACTGCTGGAGGGGAGTCCACCAGGCCTCTGGGAAGCCCAGTCCCTCCTCCCACAAGCAGCCCCTCCTCCCTGCCAAAACTGGGCTGCATCCCCTATGAATAATGAAGCCCTGCTGGGCTCAAACCAGGCCACCTTTCCTTGGACCTCTGCCACTTGTGGAGACAGGAGATGAAGGACACAATCTCTCTCCTCACATTTCTCATAGTTTCTTTAAAAATGCAAGAAACAGCTATTGAGGAGAATTGAGATAAGTTGCAAAATACACATCCCACTCCTAAATTATTCTTTTATCTCCCAGTAGAATAACCCCCACTGGGTAGGGACCTTGTCTTGCTCACTCACCACTGGATTCCCTCCTCTTGTACATACCAGGCATTCAAGAGATCTGTTGAATGAATAAATAAATGTCATTTTCCTTGTCATATCCCCAGCTCCTAGAACAGCCTTTGAATCAATAAATTCTTGCTAAAAAAAGAATGAATAATGAATGAATGAATGAATGAATGAATGATTTGCACCATGCTTTGAAGGATGAAGAGGAGTTAACCAGAAATGAAACAAAAAAGGAAAGGGGCAAGCAATCCCAAGAGCACGCACAGAGGATGGCATTTGCAAAGGCAGAAGAAAGTGTGGAGCTTCCAGGGAACAGTGACTTGTTGGAAGTGGCCCAACATTCTATCTGAAAAATGAGTTTAATCGAAGATTTACAGGAAAGTGGCAGAGGACAACCTAGCTTTTCTCCCTTCTTTCCCTTCTACCATGAACTTATCTCCTTTAGATCATTAACAAAATCACAGGGACTTCATATTTCCACCATATTAACCTCAATCTTTTTGTTTGCAAGCAACAGAAACTTCAAACTCCTCAAGCTAAAAAGTAAGCAGGTGTAGGAGATGGTTCTTGCTATTTATCTATGTTTCTGTGTACACATGTGTGCATGTCTGTATTTATATCTCTCTCTCTCTAATCTTGGGTTTACTTCCTTCTGAAATAACCTCATTCTCTCCTACTTAAAGAGCTTCCTCTTTGCAACCACAGGAACAGGTTTGCATGGCCCCCACAGCGTTGGAAGCACTTATATAACATCCAAATAAAAATACTAGGAGAGGGCAAAATGTAGTGGCTCAGCCTGTAATCCCAACACCTTGGGAGGCTGAGGCAACCATGTTACTTGAGGTCAGGAATTTGAGACCAGCCTGGCCTATATGGTGGAATCCCATCTCTACTAAAAATACAAAAATTAGCCAGGTGTGGTGGTGTGCACCTGTAATCCCAGCTATTTGGAAGGCTGAGGCATGAGCATCGCTTGAACCTGGGAGGCGGAGGTTGCAATGAGCAGAGATCACACCACTGCACTCCCGCCTGGGTGACAGAGTGAGATTCTGTCAAAAACAAGAAAAGAAAAGAAAAGAAAAGAAAAGAAAAGAAAAGAAAAGAAAAGAAAAGAAAAGAAAAGAAAAGAAAAGAAAAGAAAAGAAAAGAAGCCCAGGAGAGGATTTTGATGGATTCTGGTTGATCACATGCCCACTCCAGCTCAATCTCTGCAACTATTGGCCAGCCCGTGTCATGTGCCTTCCCATGATGGACAGCACCATGACTGACAGACTCAAGAGAAAGCGAGGAGTGTTCCCCCAAAGGAAGAGATGCTGGGGAAAAATAAAACCACAGATCCCATCACATCAGCCATGCACACATCCCAAACAGCCAGGTGCCATGTTGGGATACATTGTAGTCATGTCCAGTTGTCCTCACTCATCAGAAGAGGAGGTAAGCTTTGTATCTTACATTCATCAGAGGAGGAGGTAAGCTTTTTGTCTTACACTAGCCTCTTCTCTGGAGCTCAGTTTCTTCATCTGTAAAGTGAGTATGCTGGGCTAAATTCATCTTTAAAAGTCCCTTCCAAATAGGACAGTCTGGTATTTCTCAGAAGTTTACATTTCAAGGCTTGCTAACTTATCTTGAGTAATGGAAATGTCTGTTTCCTTAATTAATTAATTCATGAGGTAAGCTTGGATATTTTATCTTTCTTGTTCTTAGTCATTTCAAAAACACTGGATGTAAGTTCAGCAAAGGAATCCAATCTGTTTCCCAAAGTAAATTTTTTAGTCTCATTCAGAATTGGGTAATCTGGATCATCCTCTTTGGAAGAATGAGATATTTGAGATGAAATACTTTAGATCCATCCCAATTTTTAATTCTTGGGCTCCCAAATTTTATTATTTTGAATTGATCCTGGGAGCTACGGAAAGGGAAATCATTCCTCCTTAAGGTTATTTGAAACTCACTTGACTTTAGTGGAGAATATTTCAGATTAGTGTCTGTAAGCCTGAAACTACTGTTTTTGTTTTATATTTACTGAGCACCATGATGTTCTTGTAAGGTGCAGAGAAATCAGAAACACTGATCTATTAGCCATTCACAGTGCTGTGGGACTCTGTGCCTTTTCCAAGCACATCTATCTGCTCTTGCACCCCCAAAAACCCTGGTCAGAGGCAGGACAGATCCAGAAAACAGGGCACAAAGAAGGACTATGATGTATTCATAGTTAACAGCTAGTTGGTCATGCTAGAATATGAAATCCAAGTGTTCTGAATTCCAGTCCAGTTCCCCTTTGATATAATCATCCCATCTCCCCTTCCCCTCCAACCACATTCAAAGCCTCCTTCTGCCAGACCCAGAACCAAGCCCCAACCCTCCCTCACCCAGCTACCAAGGCTCATTGGTAATGTCATGACCCCGGCCACTGGCCTCACTGAACCTTTCAATCTTGCCTCCCACAAGCATCTTTAGTCGGCACTGTGACTTCCAGGCACCTATGCTATTTGCAGAGAATTCCCTTTCCTTAATCCAAGCCCAATAATCTAAATGTTTGACTCCCTGAGAGACCCTCTAGCACAACCAAGTCTTTGTTTGACGGTGGAGCCTG